AATCAGTTTTTAGGTTTTTCATTCAAAGACATGTATCTTTTACTTTGAAAGTGTGACCGGAAGTCCGTCTGAAAGCTGCTTCGCACTTGTCGCCGACGAAGTGTGAAGCTGTAGAGCTCGCGCCTCTTCAGACTCAGACACCTTGGAGACAAGAAGACAGCGCGAGCACGACTCACACGCGGACGTATAAAATGCTGTTGAACAACGAAACCAGTCTGACGAGTCGGGCTCTGGCTAAATTCTAACATTACTCTGCGAGCAGAAGAAGAGCCATGAAGAAACACCTGAGTCCTACGAAACAGCATCAACAGCCGCAGCCGCCACCACCGGCTGAAGTCCCGGTTCCAGCCTGCGAGGTGACCGTCCAGCAACTCAACGAGCTCCTGTCCGACGGCAACGGCTTTTATAGCCTACCGACACAGCACTTCAACGAGGTCTTTCCCAGGATATACATCGGTAACGCGTGAGTCATTCACCATTGAATCTAACACGTGATGCCGTTGTGACACTGACAGGTAGGGCAGCGTGTATTTCAGAGACACTCCCTACACATACTCCGACCAGACGCGACCATGACAACGGTGTCGCATGTCGGTTAGCACGCGCGCACGAGCGGTGGTCCTCCGCTGTCATCATCATGGAGGAAGCGACAGGCGGTTGTTGACAACAGATAACCCCGAAATACTAGCCTGATTTCAGGGAGAAGTCATTAGCCAGACAGTTGATTAACAGATAACACTGCAATATCACGACTATCTGTCAATATATAATATTATTGTTATTATTGTTATTATTATTACAAATCTACGTGTGATCCTCTTTACCTTTAAAGCAGAGGAAACCAACGAATTCAGAACACGAAGGACGAAACTAAAGAGGTGTTTTTACTCAATGAACCCCTCTCTGTCATTAGTATCATTGCCATGTCTTCATCAAGCCGCTCCCCTTTCAGTCCTGCTGGGCTGCAGGAACACAGCAACCGTCACCACTCTTCCCCCACCCCCCATCTTTCATTTATTATATGAAAAGAAGAAAAACATTTTCTCGCAGAGCAAATTGTGGAAAAAAAGAGATGTGAATTGTTAGTCTAAATTGTGAAGATGCTCTTTAGACAGGAATAAACAGGAATCTAGTCAATTCATGTCATATATAAGTTAATTCAGCAGTGTCAAACACATTTTATCTCTTCCTATTAAAAAGGATTTCTTGCTCCCCACCATAACCAAGTGTTTGCTCATATGTCATTGTGTGATCTTTTGGAAACTCCTGCATATCTCTTTAGGCTGGCGCTATGTTAATAAAATTATATTGCATTAATTCCTTTGTTTACTTATAATGTTAACAAGTACACTCACCTAAGGCAAATGGAAACTGCAAATGACTGCAGCTAAGATACTAAAAGGAGGTCATGTGTCACATTCCTTGCAGAAAATGAATTCATATTTAATATTTTTCCTGCCAGGTAACTAATTAATCAGGTAATCTCCCATCTCTGTAAAGAAATGTGACGTATATATGTGTCTTTCTCACAAAACACAACACAAAATTATTTGCAAATACAAATCTGTGCATTAAATAGTTGATTGTAAACATCTATTGGAAAACGTCTAAGACTGAACACAGGCACAAACCAGACCAGTGCTTTCTTTGTGCATAATCAAATCATGGAACAAAGGTAATAGAATTAACTTAATAGCAGCAGTATGGTTTTTTTTAAAAATTTATTTCTTCCTGTAAGAGATGCTGTGCACACACACACACACAGACCCACACATGCAGCGTATATGGAGTATAATGTATATTTGTTTATTAAACAGTTCTGCAGCTGAACCATAAATCCATGGTTGTTTGTTGACTTGGGGCTATTGGCTTTGTAATGAACATGCTGACTGTTTAGGAATTTACTACCCAGTGTTCCAGTAAAGCCAGTTCAGATTGTGTATGAGATGTACTGTAAAATCTTCCCACTGAACCTAGAGATAAACAGAGACGGTCCTCGTCTCACTACTGGTATTGCTATTTTGGGCTTTTTCTTTGCCTGTAATAGCTCTTTTACAATACACGCATCGCAGCTCTGAACTTTTCCAGACCTTATTCGACACAGCTGCATGTGGGGCTGTTGAATTTACATTAATGTGTTTTAATCTGCCAGTTCTTTACTACAAATGTAAGTTATAGTCTGGTGAATTTAAAATGAATGCGTAGAAATCATCTATTTTATATCTTACATGCTCTATCCTAAGAGCTCCCTTGCCTAAACCATAGTATTTCCAGTAGTGATAAAGTGGACTGTCTCCTACTGTGTGCTGCATGTGAGAAAAAGCAATATCAGAATCCTGAACTGATTCTTGCCAGTTGCATATGCATAGTTTATGAATATTTTATGCACAAATCTGTGATTCCCCAATGTTTTCTTACCTGATTTGGTTGTTTGCATGCTGTGAGGCAGTTATTAATACTATAACATCTCCTGTGGCAAAATTTTTATTTATTTACCAATAAAGCATTGTTACCTAGCAAGAAGTTCCTGAGTTCAATTACACCACCAGGCCTGGGTCTTTCTCTGTGGAGTTTGCATGTTCTCCCCATGTTTGCTTGGGTTCTCTCCGGATACTCTGGCTTCCTCCCACAGTCCAAAGACATGTAGTTAGTGAGATTGGGTTAATTGGTAACTCTAAATTGCCCATAGGTGTGAATGTGAGTGCGAATGGTTGTCTCGCTATGTGTTAGCCCTGCAACATAGTGGTGACGTGTTCAGGGTGTACCCCGCCTCTTGCCCTAAGACAGCTGGGATAGGCTCCAGCCCCCTGTGACCCTGACAAGGATAAGCGGAAGAGGATGAATGGATGGATGGATGAATTAATTGGTTAGCACCATCAACAAGGAGGTCCTGGGTTTGAATCCACCTGAACAGAAAGCTGGAACCTTTCTGTGTAAGGTTTGCATGCTCTCCCTCTGCATGTGTGGATTTTCTCCAGTACCTCTGTAATTTGAAATTGGCTGTAGGCGTGAATTAGGGTTGGGCGATATGTAAAAAATTTTCCAACCGGCAATCGTCAGTCCAGTAATCGACAATGGGCAATATATTCGCGCATGCGCAGACTTGATGGGCGGAGCAATGTAATCATGGGAGGACTGATTTGCGCGTTTACAACACAGAAGAAGTCCAAACATGGACGAATTAATTTCCCAAAAAATTAGGGCTGTCAGCATTAAGGCGTTAATGCAGCATTAACGCGGCTATCACGATTAACGCAATCAATTTTTTTAACGTGCTCAACCCATCTGGAGCGCAGAACAAACAAACTTTGGATAAAATGCCCGAAATACGTTGACAGAGACATTTCAGAGATTCTGACTCAGTCTGCGCTCCAGATGTTAATTGTTAATTGCATTAGTCGTGATGACGGCGGGTTAACGCTGACCGCACTAAAAAAAATTATGAAGTCGCCAATTTGGGATTTCTTTGGCTTTAAACCAGATGAAAGAAGTAAACCTAAGGATCTAACCAAAGTGGAGTGCCGCTTGTGCAGACGTACACTGTGAGCAAAGGACTCTAAACACGACTAACTTGCATGGACATGTACATGTCCGCCATCCGCCTGAGTATGCTAGGCTATCACCAGCTTCTGCAGGTCCATCAACAAGCATTTGGGTGCACTCTGAGGAGGGTGCATTTGCTTGAAGATAAAAGAGGGTGCTGTTAAAACAGCGCTACTATTTTTTTCTGTTTGACTGCTTCTATTAGCTCCATCATTATTAGCAAAGTTACTCTTAAACACCTTACTGTTGTTACTCTTATTCCTCGACTGGTTGGTGAGTGGTTGCTGGCAGTCTCTAGGTGAAACTGGTCACAATAATGGTCCTTTGGTCATTACCAGATTGCCACAGTTTTGTGTAGTTTGCATGGAAAAGTGGGGTAATTTGCAAAAAACCTCTTTATGTGTTTAAAGTGTAATTTTGTTGCTATTAAAGAAACAAATTTAGTTTCTTTTGCATATATTTTGCTGTGTGGTAATGTATACCAGCTTTTACAGAGCAGCTCTTAATGCCACCTTTATGGATTTGTGGTAGAGAGAACAGATTCAGGGATGCCTCAAAGAAACTTGTGGGTTCAATCACTGCCAGTAGAGTGGTGGAGGAGCCGAGCCGGACAGAATACAAGCACATTACTGTAGCTCAGTGCTACAACACAATCAATCTGGATGTGCCAATCTGTCCGGCCAAGTCTCCAAACAAAGTGCTGGCAGACCTGCGCTCTGCTGAAGCTGATCAGAGAAAACTATCAGCATGAAAGAGCGACTCTAAAGTGCTCTCAGCTTTATGATTTCTTTTGTCGAAGAGATTTTGATGTCTGATGAACAAACTAGGTTTGAGTTTTCGGTGGGGGGTAATTACTGAGCTATTTTATTTTAAAGCATATCTTAGAGCTTAGAAAAGCTTGAAAGGACAGTGTAACATAATGTGATATTACACATATCTCAGGCAGGGAGAGGTGGTATTGATTGTTGATTAAAGGCTGTGCCTTGTCCACAGTTTCCACCTCTGGGACCCAGTAATCCTCCCTGCTCATCTCATTAGTTGTACCTTGTTATAAATCAAATTATGTAGCTGGCCGGTAGAAATCCATTGGATGAAAACCAGTGCATCTATTAACACAAGACTAGCATGTGGTGCATCTCGCATATGCGTTTTTTACGGCGCTCGACTTAAATTAGAAAGAGATCTGTCCTTGAAAATGTTCATTAAACGTTCTTATCATAGGTACCCTCAGGAATTGGACCCATTAACCATTTTTAGGTTTTGATATACAGTTGCCTGTCAGATTTTAATTTTTTTAGGTCAAGACACAGTTTCATTTACATAATAACTGTTCATTTAAGATATACAGTAGTCACTCATGCTGACATTTGATGGGAAAATGTACAGCATTGCTTTCCCTTCTTTATTTTCATTTAATAGAAAAATCAGGGATACTTATACAGCTGCCAAAAAACATCCCATTTTCGTACTCTGTAAGGATTTAACATTTTCAACAGACCATTAAATTGTAAGTTCATATTTTTTTTGTACATACATACATTCGCTCATTGTGCATCACTTTAAAGCTCACAGCTAGTCGCTTGGTTTCCTACTTAACCCTCTAACTTATTTATTACCTGTTCATTTGTCAATTAACAGTATTCCTCACTCTCATTGGTAGTTGCATTCAATTCTCAGATTCCGCCCACTTCACAATCACAAGAAATTATTTTGCCTGTAGTTACCTGCCAATTGCCCATTAATACAAGTTTTCTTAGTCTTTGAACTCAACTGGAGTGACAGTTCTTTCCTACGTTGGTGTTTCGACCACACATCTGCATTTGTTGAGTCTTTCTGCTGATTTATTCAGTTCTTTCACTTAAAATAATGTATATAGCAGACACTCAGTAAAAGTTTAAAGTCACTAATTCAATAAACAAGATGTTGACTAGAGCAGCACTTGTGTTTATTGAACTAGTCAATGTTTGCATCCATAAATGGATTATGAGTCTACTTTGCCAGCTTGCAATGTTTTCAGTTCAGTTGTAGTCAGCACTCTTAAACCACAGTGTGCAGCTCAGGGACTTAAGGTGTGGTTGTTTGCTTTGAGAAACGCTCTGGCTCTTTGTGAAGCTGGTCTTTAATAATGGATGTGTTGGGACTGCAGATCCCAGGGTAAGGAGGCCGGGACAGGCCCGGCAAATAGGAAGGAAGCCATCGGCTGTGAACCCAGTTGAACCTACTGTGCCTCTGCATTGTGTTGTGTAGAAGTACAGTATAGGCCTTTACACACTACTACCCTTTACACACAAAGAGATACGCATGCCTACGCTTTACTTGCTTCACTTTTTTTTTGCATTGAAGTGCTCATAGTGTGCATGCATATTGAATCATTTATGAGCACTAGCTTAGTCTAAATATACACAGACTTTTTGTGAATGAAATGAAGATATTATTAATGTGTAGCCTGGATTTCTGAATCTCTGCCCTGTAGCTACGATGCTAGCAGACAGGCTGCTTCATCCGTCCTCCTTTGGTTGCAAAGTAACATTGTAGCAGAATTTCTTGTTAGGTATTGCAGAGAGGGTTTTGCAGCCTCCACCTCTAGGGAGCTGCCCAGGGTCACCTCACCTTGCCTCCAGGCTCACGTTGACGTTAAGCCTGTATAGTAAAGCTTTGTCAGAGTGAACGATTTACAGATTCGTGAAAATGGTTTTAAAATAAAAAACAATACATATATAAACTTATATCATGAATAGTATTTGTAAGGCAGGCTACGAGGTCATTATTGATCTTAATTAAATGATCTTGATAAAACTGTCACTCTTAGCATAAGTGTATGCAAATAAAACTGCAGATATATGAACAAAAAACGTTATAAACAACACATACCAAGGCAGAATTATTACTCACAAAGTTTAATCTGTGGAGAATTGACTGGTGCCTTTATTTCTGGATTTCTCAGAGTCT